AGCTAGGCTGATGCCACAGCACTCTAGCCAAGGCAACAGAGTGAGACTGTCTCAAAAAAAAAAAAAAAAAAAAAAAGTCATCAAATGGAAATTCTTCTTAAATATTCAATAAATTCAATGCAATTCCATAAAACATTTCAGAAATGTTTTTTTCCAGAAGGGGTTTCAAAGAATTTGGCAAGCTAATTCTAAAATTAATATGGAAAGATTAAAGGCAAGACTTCCCACACAGTACAATACTATGGGAGCAGAGATGTGTCAATTTTGTCAGTTTTTTATATACCAAAGTATGGAACAGTGCCTGGTACCTAGTAAGTACTCAAAAAATGTTTTGGGGAAAAATGAATGACAGCTTGGAAGAAAAGGAGAAGAGGAGGAGGAGATATTTACTCTGTCAAATAGTAAGACCACGTATAATTTTTGAGTATAATTTAAACACAAGGGTAAATAAACAGACCAATATGAAGAGTTTAGAAACAGATCCACATGCATACAAAACGTTTTATATACTAGAGCAGGGGTAGGGAAACTTTTCATGTTGGGAGGCTGCATTAATTTAGCTGTAATCAAATAAGGCTGCATTCAAGAAACTTCAATTAGATATACTTAAAATGCACATTATTTTGTAAAAATCTAACTACTATATACCTAATAACTTCAAAAATGAAACCTATTTGTTAATTTTAAGGTTAATTAACCTTTTAATGGCTTTGTTGTGTCTGTTTTTGTTGGAAAGCATTTGAATATTTGGTTGCAGCATGGAGATCTATAGTTTCAATTGATCCTCTAGATGGGTATCGGTCATTTGTAATCTTAAGGGTGTCTTTATTTGAGTTAGGTAGGAGAACATAGATTTGCAGCCATAAGTGGTTGAAAAGCAAGAAAGCATTTTTGGGGCATGTTGCCAGGTATTCTACTACATTTTTCCATATTTCAATTGAATTTTTCTTAGCATCAAACAATTATTTTAAAATGTCATCTACTGAAAGCTGGATCAATTCCATCTGAGTTCTTTAGGTGCCTTGATGATATCAACTAGGTGAGGCTGAAATGCTAATTTGAGTGTGATGTCATGATACAATGAAAAGAAATGAGAGCATCTGCATCTGTTAATATTTTTTTATCTGTGCAATAAGCCTTTCAGGTTTTCCTGTCATGGAAGGTGTGTATACACTCTCTAAATTAACCAAATTCAGTCCAACTTCATGACATTTATCTTGAAAATTGCTAAAGATATCTATTCCCCATGTTCTGTTTGCAAGCGTGCCCAAAACGAGTAACTGTTCAGGTCAAAGAAAATATTCTGTTATGGCCCAAATGAAGTATAAAACCTGTGCACCGAGTCAGTAGTATCAGCGGATTCATCCAAAGTGATTGAATAATACATATTTTCCTTTTGAGGTATTGCATGAAGTTGTTCTGTTAAGTTGAAGGCGAATTCATGCTGCTGATCAGTTATGGTTCTCTTTGAAAAAGGCAGTTGTTTGTACTTTGAAACGTTATAGGGTCTAAGGGTCTAAGTATCCCACAGCCTCGACAGTGCATTCTTTCACAGTTTCTACGTCACTGAATGCCTTCCCTTTTTTCCCCTGAGTATATAAGCTATTTTCTAAGTTGCTTCAGTGGCATTATTTCCAGGTCTTTTGCTGCTTGAAAGAATTGTCTTTGCTTTTGCTTTTCATCTTTTAATTTCTGCAATGCAACCTCTAGTGCCTCTCCTTCTAAAATATTTGTGGTCCTTATGAGTGTTATAATGCTGATGAGCATTGAATTTCTTTAATGTTGCTATTGCAGTAACCCAAAGCAAGTGAATGATCTTATCTTTAGCAGATGGTGGTAACACTGGAGGAAGGCAGGCAGGGAGTGTGTTCAGTACGGAATCTAAAATGTATCTGTATCATTTTATTTAAGGGAACTGCAGAGCCATCACCAAGAGTCTCCCACTGGGGGAATCTGGAACAATTTGAGCATCAAAATAAAAAGTGAGAGTAATTGATTAAAACCATTGAAAAAAATAAGCATTTATGAATCTGTACTGGTATAGACAAAGATGCCAACTATTAATAGTAAATGTAGGAGTGATGGAGTTAGAAAATCACTATTTGGCAAACACTATAATAATAATTGTTCCAGGCAAGAGCCACCAATAAATATTAAAACTAGCGGATGAAAGTTCAATGAGTAACAGGAGACCTACAGTGTCAAAGTGTCTTGCTTTAGTATAATATTATACTAAATTTAAAAATTGGGAATGTTCAGCTTGAGAAGAGATCAGGGGATATAATAGCTGTTTTCAGGTATGTCTTTAAAATGCTGTCTTATGGTGGTCCTACAAAAGATGGAAATTGCAAGAATTCTAACTTTGGTTCAATAAAAGGAAGAAATTTTTAGCCTGTGCCTTCGTTTGGGCTGCTATAACAGAATATCATAGACTGGATGCTTAAAGAACAAACATGTATTTCTCACAGTTCTGGAACCTGGGAAGTTCAAGATCAAGGTGCTGGCAGTTAATCTCATTATATTCTCACATGGTGGAGAGAGTGAGCTCTGGTCTCTTTCTCTTCTTATAAGGACACCATTTCCATCATGGAGGCTCCACTCCCACAATCTCATCTATACCTAATTACCTTCCCAAAGCCCCACCTCCTAATTCCATTCCAATGAGGGTTAGGGTTTCAAAATATGAGTTTTGGGGGGGACAAAAACATGTAGTCCATAACAATCTGCAAAAACAGCCCAACCAGAAAAAAAAGAGGTTAAGAAAAATATTATATAATTGCAAGGTTCTAGGATTCTTAACATTCATTTATTTTAGGAGGCTATAGGTTACTAAGTATGAAATGTCTGATTTTCTTAAGTACTAAGTTTGACAGTTGATATTTCTAACATTTCACTTTGACACTTCTTGTTTTATATTTATTGCAAAGGTACATCCTCAGTCTTTCAAATGCACATTTTGGCTTGCAATTATCTTTCAAAAATTTTTAGAGCAATTTTTGTGAAACCATGGATAAGTCAAAAATTCATGTTATTTTTTTAAATATGAGTTTCTGCTTATTTCTGACCTTAATAAAGCTTTTTTATTCCATTTTCTTTCTTTAACGTGAATTTTTAGGTTAATAAATATTTTAGGGTAATAAGTTAATATTTCTACTCTCCTCACAAACAAATAAAGGTTTTAGCATATTTCAAACTCTGATCTCTCCTTCTTATCCTAACATGGTATTATTTGCTAGTATTTTATTTCTGTGCTGTTTTCACATACCTCAAATTTGTTCATGTATGGCCAGATCCATGCTTAAATAACTAAAATATTAAGACAGAGGACCCCAAAGCAGTGGTTCAAACAAAAGAGAAGTCTATTTCTTTCTCACATACAGTCCAGCAGTAAGCAGGTAGGCTTAGGCTGCTAGGCAGCTCTGCCCTATGGGATCATCCAAGACAGATTTCTTCTGTCTTGTTCTTCTCTCCTCCCCTCCCCAGTGTTGAATCCTGGCACTAAAATATTCTTAACCACTACACTGTGCTCTTAAGGACTGTCTTAATTACCCAAATGATAACTCACCTCTACCACTGCAAGGAAGTTTGGGAAATGTAGTTTCTGGCTGGGTAACCAAGAGTCCAATTAAAACTTGGGGCCTTTTGTTATTACAAGGAAGAAGAGAAGATGGGCTTTGGGGTATAGACATCCTCAGAATCCTGTATCTTCTTCCAATCTCTCTGTTTGCTTAAACCTTAGGGAGCCTAGCCCCCATGATGGCAAAGATGATCACCAACAAAAATAACTTCATGGTCTCCTATTTTAGCAATTCCATTAAAAAAGAGAGAATGAGGCTTTAGGATAGTTCCAGCTGAAGTCTGAGATTTCTTGTAACTGGTCCAATGTGGATCTCAAACCCATCACTAAACAGTCACTTTGGCCTGGGAGATGTAGTCCCCTGGTAAACCCGTGTGAGTCACCCCTGGAAGGTAGGTGGGGTAGGACTAACCCCACCCAAACCACATGGTCTTAAAGTAGGAGAGGATTGTTTCTCTAAAGGCAAATAATGAGGTGCTGTTACCACTAGAATGGATGCTGAACAAGCCATGTAACAGATGACCATTAGGCTTGTCTATTCCATAGATTGGAAGAGACTGGGTATTCCAAAGAGGTTGTACAATTGAATGTGTTTTTAAAACCCAAGTGAAAAAATGTGGAAGGTTATGCTATGATAAAGTTACTTAGTATACTTTTACTTACACTTCTCCTGCTGGGAGCACTCCTACTCATCTACTCCTGGTCATTCATTCCGCACCAGTGTTAACCTCTGCTGTGCTGACCATGCTCTTCGCTAATTATTTACTTATGTGTCTTTCTCTCAGTCCTCCCTTAACACATCCCTACAATTGAGGGCTCCTCCAGAGCTAGACTCCATAGGTGCCCCACAGTGCCCAAGGCACAGAATAGATATCAGGAGACTAGTTTTGCTAAAGAAAAGGGTAAAGTCTCAATAACTCTCAAAATAGACATACGCCCTCCAATTTTTAGACCTTCTTTTTACCTTTGGAAATCATTATTAGACAGACATCATCCAAATCCCAGGGAGTCCTGCAGGATTAGGGGGAGGAAGTGTCAGGTCAGATTATGTTGTTTATAGAAATGTAACTCCAAATGACTGGAAAGCAGTGCCAGGCATCATTTTATTTATGGAACTCAAATCAAATCACCAAGAGGCAAAGACCCAAGTAGGAGGAAGTTCAGCAGATAATTGACTAATCAGAGCTGTCATCTCATCCTATTTGATTCTAGGGTTTTTAAAAAAAGCTGTGTTTTGCAATCAATTCCTAATGTAAACACATAAATGACTTTCTTTCCCAGAAACACCAATACCCCCAGCTTAACTGATGTTGAAAACCCTGCCTATACTGTAGAGAAAAAGAGCTTGTGGAGGACAGTGCAGGAGACATAAATGGGGAGATAGCAAGGAGAGATCAAAAGGAGGAACAAGAGATCTCCTGGAGAAGGTGTTCAAGTGGCTTACTTGGGAAACTCCACCATGGGTCTTCCGGGATGCTAGTAGCTACCATTTATTGAGACATTGCTGCATGTCAGATGTTGTGGCTCTTGTGTAAGCACTTTTAGTACATGATTTCATTTTAATTCTCATAACTATCTTGTAAGTTCAGCATTGGTACCTCCATTCATAAATGAAATGACAGTCTAAAAGTTGCAGTGATTTGCCCAGAGCCACGCAGCTAAGGGCTACAAGATACAGGATTTGAATCCCTGCAGATTTGATTTGACTCAAAGCTTCTGCTCTGACTCCTTAACTATCCTCACAAACCACTTCAAGGCAGCTATTATTTCCTCCATTCTACAGACGAGGAGACTGAGGCCCAAGGATGACTCAACTTGCCCAATTGACAGAGATAGTGTCAGAGCCAAACCAAGTCTGTCAGATTTCTGTAATACAAAAATGTATCACACCTCCAAGATACAAGAAGAGCAAAGGAGAAGGGCTAGAATGTGCCATAAAGCCCCGGCAGGTCAGGCTCTACCCTTTCCTAGGTCACTGCATTCTGCGTTCTACTCTTGGGGCAGAATCACCCACCAACCTCCCCACTTAGGCCCCTTTCAAGAATCTTCTTTTCACCACCTCTTCCCCAGTGTGGCCAACGGACTGAACAGGGACTGGGTGGTTCTCGAAAGAGTCTTAACATCTCTTCCCAAGGATCTCCTAGGAAACGAACAGCCTTGGGCCTCCCTTTCCCACACATTTGAGCAAGGTCTGTGGGTAAGACTGGCAGGTGCTTGAATTAGCAGCCAGCCAAACCGGGCTCAGACACAGCCTGGTGACTTTGACCAATAACAGCAGCTCCCTCTTTGAAAGCATATATTCTGGGACAGACATTTCATTGGGAGTTTCCTCCATATTTTTAAATTTAATTGCACCCCTCCCCCGCAATGACTGGCCCTATTTTACAAAAGAGGAGCCTCAGGCTCCTGGAGCGAAGCGCCCAGCGCAAGGACATCAAGTAGTCACGAGTTTGGGACTTGAACCCACCAAGGCCCCAGATTCCGCTGTTGCCCGGGAGCAGAGGAGGGAGGAGCTGCCCGAGTGGAGGGAGGAGGGGAAGGAGAGAGGGCGAGCTCCCAGCAGCGCGCGCTGACGACAGCAGGTGATTTTTTCTGCAGCGCGCTTTCTCTCAGCGTCTTCCCTGGATTGTTCCCCCCCCCCCTCGCTGAGCGGCAGCAAAGGGTGGGGCCGCTTCCCTGCAGCAGAGGCGGCGGCGGCGGCGGCAGGGGCTGCAGCATCATCGTCGTCAGCGGCGGAGACCCAGAGCTGCAGAATAGGGTGGGGCCCCTTCCCAGCAGCAGACGCGGCGGCGGCAGAAGCTGCGGCATCATCGAGGGCAGCGGCGGAGGCAGCAATGCTTGGTCTCCTCTGGCAGTGAGGACCTCCGGGCTCTGCTAGGTAGCCGGCTGCGACCAGACACCCGGAAGGAAGGAGAATCGAGCTGGGTCCGCGGATCCCGTGGCCACACCGCCCGGCCCCTCCTCTGCGCCATGGCTTAAGCCTGCTGCCACCTCCCCTCGCCTCTCCTAGCTCGGCCGGGGTCTGCGCGCCACCGCAGCCGCAGGGAGGGGCGCGTCCCAGACAGCCTCGCCGGGGACTCGGGGACGCCGTGCCTCTCGCCCTTCGGCGTCCGCTGCAGACTGCGCTCCCAGGCTGCCGATAGCCGGTAATCAAGGGACTTTACAGACTATTCTAGCGATAGCTTTCCCAGGTGCTCTCCGGGGGAGGAGGGCGGAGTAGCTCAGGCTATCGGTGGTGGGAGAAAACGGTGGGAACCGCACTGGGCGGTCGGGGTCGGAGGCTGAAGGAAGATTAGAGACTTGCTTTGGAACCACAGAAAGAAAGAGGGAGGGCCAGCTTTGCAGCCAGCACCATGGCGTGGCCGTGCATCACACGGGCCTGCTGCATCGCCCGCTTCTGGAACCAGCTGGACAAGGCAGACATCGCCGTGCCGCTGGTTTTCACCAAGTACTCAGAGGCCACGGAGCACCCCGGCGCCCCGCCGCAGCCACCGGCGCCGCCGCAGCAGCATGCGCAGCCGGCTCTCGCACCCCCCTCGGCGCGCGCGGTTGCCATAGAGACGCAGCCGGCCCAGGGCCAGTTGGATGCAGTTGCCCGGGCAACAGGGCCGGCGCCCGGGCCTAGCGGCGAACGCGAGGCGGCCGCTGCCCCGGGCCGGAGTGGGCCGGGCCCAGGCGTGGTCTCCGGCTCCACCTCCGGCGCGGGCCCCGCGGACTCGGTGATGCGGCAGGACTACCGCGCCTGGAAGGTGCAGCGGCCGGAGCCCAGCTGCCGGCCGCGCAGCGAGTACCAGCCCTCTGACGCACCCTTCGAGCGCGAGACCCAGTACCAGAAGGATTTCCGTGCCTGGCCACTGCCGCGCCGCGGGGACCACCCGTGGATCCCCAAGCCCATGCAGATTCCAGCGTCCTCCCAGGCTTCGGCGCCTATTTTCAGCGCTCCCAGGCGCCGGCCGCAGAGCCAGGAGCGCTGGTTAGTGCAGGCCGCCGCTGAGGCCCCGGAGCAGGAAGCGGCTCCTGGCGGAGCTGGTGGCCCGGCAGCCGGAAAGGCGTCTGGTGGCGACGAGCGCGACACACGCAGGAAGGCCGGCCCCCCCTGGATGGTGCGACGCGCCGAGGGGCTGGGGCAAGAGCAGACGCCGGTGCCCGAGGCCCAGGCCCAGGTCGGAGCTGGAGGCCCAGCGGCCGGAAAGGCCTGGTGGGACGAGCGCGACACACGCAGGAAGGGCCGCCCCCTGGATGGTGCGACGCGCCGAGGGCTGGGCAAGAGCAGACGCCGGTGCCGAGCCCAGGCCCAGGTGGAGCTGGTGGCCCAGCGGCTGGAAAGGCGTCTGGTGGGGACGAGCGCGACACACGCAGGAAGGCGGCCCCCCGGATGGTGCGACGCGCCGAGGGCTGGGCAAGACCAGACGCCGGTGCCCGAGGCCGAGGCCCAGGCCCAGGTCGGAGCTGGAGGCCCAGCGGCCGGAAAGGCATCTGGTGGTGACGAGCGCGACACACCGCAGGAAGGCCGCCCCCCTGGATGGTGCGACGCGCCGAGGGGCTGGGCAGCAGACGCGGTGCCACCGCCCAGGCCAGGCCGGTCGAGCTGGAGGCCCAGCGGCCGGAAAGGCATCTGGTGGTGACGAGCGCGACACACGCAGGAAGGCCGGCCCCCCCTGGATGGTGCGACGCGCCGAGGGGCTGGGGCAAGAGCAGACGCCGGTGCCCACCGCCCAGGCCCAGGCCCAGGTCGGAGCTGGTGGCCCAGCGGCCGGAAAGGCGTCTGGTGGCGACGAGCGCGACACACGCAGGAAGGCCGGCCCCCCCTGGATGGTGCGACGCGCCGAGGGGCTGGGGCAAGACCAGACGCCGGTGCCCGAGGCCCAGGCCCAGGTCGGAGCTGGTGGCCCAGCGGCTGGAAAGGCGTCTGGTGGGGACGAGCACGACACACGCAGGAAGGCCGGCCCCCCCTGGATGGTGCGACGCGCTGAGGGGCTGGGGCAAGAGCAGACGCCGGTGCCCACCGCCCAGGCCCAGGTCCAGGCCACCGGCCCGGAGAGTGGCAAGGGGCGCGCAGCGGCGGACGCCCTCAACCGGCAAATCCGAGAGGAGGCGGCGAGTGCGGTGGGCAGCTCCTACAGGTGAGCCGCGCGACGGAACTAGTCACACGTGCCCTCTCCCGCGGACTGCCCAGGGCTCATTCGCCCCCGCGCAGGCCTCACATTCCGCCTCCCGTTCAGTCCCAGACCACACCCTCTCCGCAGCCGCATCCCAGGCAACCTCCCATCGCAGACTTCTCTTCTGCCCGCACCTATGTGAACGCTGTTATCCATCCCAGCCTGCCTAGCCCTTTGACTTTACCACTTTAGCCACCTTTTCTCCATCACTGCCCCACCTCAGATCCCTGCCTGCCCGACTGAGACCCTTTGCAATTTCCACACAGGCTGTGCTTCCATCCTGCCCCCCCACGCTGCACTGGGGGGTGCTGCCCCTTGTTGGCTAAGCTGTCACCTAGCCGCCTTGGTGCCTTCCCGCAGGGTCTTCATCCTTCTAGAAGAAGTCTTTTCAAGTGACCGCTCCCCTCCTCCCCAGCCCACTTCACTTGGCCCTTCACTCTTCCACCCCTCGCCCAGTCCCTGGGAATGCCCAAGCACCACCACCTTTTCTAGATTGCCTGAAGAATCCTTACAAATCACCCTTCCTTCCACTGGGGATTTGAAGTCATTTTCCTTCTGCTTCTTACAAACTGTGACACATTGGGCAAGTCTCTTAACCTTTTGGGGTCTCAGATTGTTATCTGCAAGATATAATGGATAATAGATACCTCTTAGGATTATTCATTTATTGATTTAATATTCAATATTCAACATATTTTGGACTACCTACTACAATATATGCCAAGCACTGTACTAGACATTGTGAGGATTAAATGAGCTGATTCAGGAGAACAGTTCATGCCTGGCACATGGTGGTGGTAACCTGTATGTCTCAGGTTCCATTCCTACCTTCTACACAATGCCTCATTATTCTGATTTCCATTTTCTACATGCTTCCAGCCTTATTCCCATTGAAGCATCTCCTTTCTCTCTCCTTTCCTTCATGTTCTCCAGATGTTCTTATCATTCTCTCACCACAAAGAGCTCTCTCTTTAGTACATTCAATTCCTTGTAAATGAATGCCTTTAAGCATGGAAATCTATCTGTCACTCTCTCTTTCCTGTATTTTCCCTGCCTACAGCCTCGCCTTTCCAGTCTGCTTGCTTGCCCTTCATCCATCCAATATATATTTCTGAATGTTTAGCTGGTGGTCAATCCTGCCCTTATGTTTCAATCAATAGCACGTAGCTAGCAGATCACGGTTGACCCGGAACATGCAACATTGGGTTTGGAGTCTCTGGGGAGGAAGATGTGTATGATTAGTAATTGAGCTAGAAGTGTTCAAAATGTGGCTTAATCAATGCCACAGCCAGTTAGTTGCCTCCTTTCTGCAGGAGGGGGTGGTGGTGGGCGGGGGAGGAATGCAGAGTTAGTGTCCTTGGCCAAGATCCTGTATGTAGCCTCATGTCAGACTAATGTGCTTTTCCAGTGAACATGACAAGCACTCCCTCATATACTGAGGAAGGACTAGCGTATGTGAACATCCTCTCTTGTTAAGGCAAAATCTGCCTACCAGCCCAGCATTTCCCATCTTCTTGAATTCCATTTCCTGCTTGACATCTCTGTCTTGGTTTATTGCTATCACAACCACACTGGCCCCCGAGGAGCACACTACTTCCTTTTAAAGGTCTGTGTCAAGCAAGGACACATATCCTTTTCCTTGGGTAGCCACAGGGAGGTGGAATTTTCACCATATTTTTATGCTGCCACCAAAGGAGGATCAAAAGAAAAGAGGAAGCAAAGAAGCAGGAGGCGTAAAAAACAAGATGTAGTTTTCTGGTTCTTGTTTACAAGGCCCTACTTCATTTCTTGATCTTCCTTCCCCGAGAACCCTAAGATTGGCCCAACATCACAGATTCCTGGCCTGGCCTGTTTTTCTTTCTACTCCCATTCTATCACCCTCTGGTGGGTGGAACCTTATCACCCACCAGGTAGGAGCTATCCTCCTCACCTCCATATAGTCAATGCCAATCAAGAGAGATTTCAAATTCTTAAGCCTCCTTGAGTGATCCTATTCTGTTTATGTTTCCAAGTTGGCAGGACTTGCTTTGTTCAGGGGTGATTCCTTGTCTATCTAGACAAGGAATGACCACATCTTTCAGATATAACTCACTCCAGATTTTGGGTTCAACAAAATTTTAAGGTGATATAACAACAACTTAACTATGCAGTGAGCATGTCATGCTTCACAGTTTGAATTATGCACATACTGGAAATGATTGGATTGGGTGGAAGAATGCTACGCTTTCACAGCTGATGAGAATGGTTATTTTTAGCAACTATCAGAATTCTATCAATCTTGCCCCCCAAAATCTTTGAACACCTAAAACAAAATTTTTTGAATTCAGGTCTTCTGTAAAATTTAATTGTATCTATGAAGTTGGGGCCAGTAGTACCATTTCCATATAATCAGAAGGGTTTTGAACATTAAGATAATGAGTTTTGCTAAGAAACATCAATTTATTTAATGGACAGTTTAAGTGCATGACAAATATGATGTGAAATTTAACATTATTTTTTGTTCCAGAAAAAGAAATTAACAAATAATAGGGCAATGTACCTTGGGTGAAAGTAGATATGAAGAAATAAGATGTTCAATAAGTTAAATGCACTGCAGGCCAGGTGTGGTGGCTCATGCCTGTAATCCTAGCACTCTGGGAGGCTGAGGCAGGAGGTTGCTTGTGGTCAGGAGTTCAAAGCAGTCTGAGCAAGAGTGAGACCCAATCTCTACCAAAAATAGAAAAAATTAGCTGTGCATGCTGGTTCACACCTGTAGTTCCAGCCACTTGGGAGGCTGAGGCAGGAGGATTGCTTGAGCCCAGGAGTTTGAGGTTGCAGTGAGCTATGATGATGCCACTGTACTCTAGCACAGGCAACAGAGCAAGACTCTGTCTCCAAAAAAAAAATACACTGTAAAGAGAAAATGCTTGGTAATTATAGCCTTGTTCAGAACATTGATTTTTCCTTCCCTACTGTCTCACACTCTTTTCCTTGCTATGATTCTGGATATCTCCTGAATTTTGTGAATTTTTTTCTTTTTTGAGACAGAGTCTCACTTTGTTTTCCCAGGCTAGAGTGAGTGCCGTGGCGTCAGCCTAGCTCACAGTAACCTCAAACTCCTGGGCTCAAGCAATCCTCCTGCCTCAGCCTCCCGAGTAGCTGGGACTACAGGCATGCGCCACCATGCCCGGCTATGTTTTTCTATGTATATTAGTTGGCCAATTAATTTCTTTCTGTTTATAATAGAGACGGGGTCTCACTCTTGCTCAGGCTGGTTTCGAACTCCTGACCTCGAGCAATCCACCCGCCTCAGCCTCCCAGAGTGCTAGGATTACAGGCGAGAGCCACCGCGCCCAGCTTAGCTCCTGAATTTAAGTATGCCCCATGTCCACTGTAGATGAGCTTTATGTCACCTTAGAAGCCAAGTTGGGGTCCATTTCAATGATGATTTGATTTTACAAACCTTTTTCTTCTGCCACTCTACATAAATCATGGCATGTTTATATCATAGTGACTGGTTCATCTCATGGACTTTACAAATGACATCTGTCACATGACATCAAAATGAGCAATTCACTTAGAGAAAGACACATATCCATCAGCTTAATATATTGTTATGTAATGTAAAATATATTAATATATTCAACATTCAGAATCCTACACATGCTAATTGATTTTCCCCCACAATATACATAAGATATCCGATAACACTATGGCTTTGAGAAAACTTCCCTATTCAATAGTTCATCTGTGGCTGGGTGCAGTGGCTCATACCTGTCATCCTAGCACTCTGGTAGGCAGAGGTGGGAGGATCTCTTGAGGCCAAGAATTTGAGACCAGCCTGAGCAACAGTGAGAAGCCCTCGTCTCTACAAAAAATAGAAAAATTAGCTGGGTGTGGTGGTGCATGTCTGTAGTCCCAGCTACTCAGGAGGCTGAGGCAGAAGGATCGCTTGAGGCTAGGTGTTTGAGAGGTTGAGGTTGCAGTGAGCTATGATGATGCCACTGCACTCTAGCTGGATCCAACAGAGCAAGACACTATCTCAAAAAAAACCAAGAAAACAGTTCATCTAATTCATAATCCATTCATACTAGCCTGGGATTTTTGCATTCAAGTGGTATCGGAGATATCTTTAGAATTATTCACAATCATGAGGTTGATTAATTTTTAATACATTAATTTTACATAGATGATATTATAAAATTGACAAGCATATCTTTATTTCCATTTTTAATGTTAAGGATGAATTGCACTGGGAAACCATTTGTGACTTTAGACCTGGCGCGTTCTCAATTAGAAAATAGATGAGTCATAGGGAAGGGATTAAAATTCCTCTGCCAGTCAACCCCATTGCCCTGGCCATCTGATAATAGGGATGGATAGGGTAGCAGGTGCTCCCTATAGAAGAAATGCTAATGAGAAGCTTTTCCTAGAAGAAATCAGGTGAGGCACCAGGAGGTAGAATTAATAAACCAGAGGCAAAGTACTTGAAAAATGAGAGCCATAACAAGGAAGTCAGAAAGAAAAGGAACCTTTAATATCTGCCCTGCGGCCTTGCATGAAGGTCAGAGGAGGGTCTTTCCGACTTAGCTTATGCTGTGCAGAATTGTCCTATGCCCCAACCGCCCATTTTCCTAATTTCCTGCTGAGTAAGTCCCAGCAATACTTCAAGGGTAACCTCGGACACTGAGTCTACAGCAATGCCTTCCTTGGTCCTGCCATTCAGAATTAATTTTTCTTCTATTCCCTTTTTACTTTCTGAACTCTAATCATTTTCTGCTTGATTATAAAATACTTTTGTCCATATCTACCTCCCCTATGATATCATGAACACATGAAGAGAAGAGTTGTATTTTGTTTATTTCTGCCTCTCACAGCTTAACATTGTGCCTAGGTGCCATATATATTTGTTGAACTCAATGGAATTTTTAGGGCTTGGGGAAATTAAAAATTTACCTACATATTGATTCATTCAGTTTCATTTA